GTGTGAGTAGGTTTAATATATACGCTGGTGGACAAATGATCTCCCATGAACTTGATATTAATGTCCAAGAAGTGCACATTCAAGGAACTTTTTTGCTCTAATTTTAATCTAAGACCATCTTTGTTATTATTGATTCTATTCAAAAATTCATGTATCCTGCTATTATTTCTCCATAATATAAAAATGTCATCCACATATCTGACGAAATGTATGACATCTTCCTTAAAATTTCGTAGAACTTCCCTTTCTAATCTTCTAACTACTAACTCGCAAAGAATTCCAGAGAGGGGACTTCCCATCGGAACTCCTCTTTTCTGCCTGTATATTCGACCACAAAAAGTAAAACAAGATTGCGGGCATACCAGGCTAGCTAGTTCCTCTAGGTCTTGGGTGTAACTAAGCAACTGAGGGTTGTTGTTGTACATGAAATTCAATAATGCCTCCACACATGATTTAATCATTACTGAAGGATACATGCTTTCATAATCTAAAACGGTCGCTACTTCGTCTTTCATTAAAGAAATATTTTGCACTTGACTACGACAAGAGGATCTTTTACCACCAGTCTATCATCTTCAAGCTGTGGGGATAAATATTCATGTAATCTTTTTTCTAAGATAAAAGTGGGCCCCCTACACTTCTCTACCACTGGTCTTAATTCATTTCCGGTTTTGTGCGTCTTAGCAAACGCAAACAATCTTGGAGTTCCTGAACTGGGATTGTGACATTTCTTCAGAAAAGGCAAAACGGCAGCAAGACTTGAGCCTTCTAATTTCTTGACCCTCCTGTCCAGCAGCCGGATGGCCGAGCGGTCAAGGCGGCAGCCCACCGCTCTGGGGGACCCGGGTTCGAATCCGAACGGGTCGAAAAATCCCCAGGAATTTTTCGGGGTGTGGTCCGTGCGGATATGTCGGGCCCCGTCCCTCACCACCCGGCAGCCCCATTGTGGGCCTGGCCGAACCCATAATGGGCTTGCAATAAGAGGCCCTCTTCGTGCCCACAGGGCGGAAAGAGTTAAATAAAAAAGACCCTCCTGTCCAAAGACCCAATTATCTTGTCAACAATTTCACATTCGGTCTTCTTGATGTACGCATGTAATTGTCAAACGTATGCCTCTTCATAACAACTAATTGTCTAGTTTTGTCTGCTTTGGTCATCACTAGATCATTCGTTCTTAACCACTCCTTCGTAAGCCATATGTCTGTATTGCTAATACTAGTTGCTTTTTTCTTTGGGCGGTTACTGATGACAGTCTTCTATCTAAAGAATTCTTTATCCAAAGGATCCAAGCCAACTATCCCTCTCTCAATCTCCTGTATGGAGGTTTCCCAACTATTTACCACATCAAAAAGAGCCCCAAATTTATATAAGATATTGAGGAATGATAAAGATAGAATAAAAACAGAAGAAAAACCAGGTGTACCGTGTTTCCCCGAAAATAAGACATCCGCAGAAAATAAGACCTAGCACAGATTTTGCTGAAATGCGAAATATAAGACCTCCCCCTGAAAGTAAGACCTAGCGAAGTTTTTTTTAGTCGTAACAGATGGTTGAAAGTGGCAGTTGGCTTTTTGAAAGTACAGCCACTGATTGGTCAGCAGACAATCACGCCACACGGTATGATTTGCATAAGACTATGGCTTGAGAATCACAGATTTGCATAACGTTACGGCTGGTAATGGCTAATTGGTCGGCAGTGAATCACGCCACATGATATTTGCATAGTGCTACGGTTCAGTAAGCACTAATTGGTTGTGGAGTCCGATGTTGACGCTATAAAAAGGCGACAGTTCGACACACCGGATATACGTCACTCTCGTCTAAGTTCGACTTGGGAATTTGTTTGTTCAATAATAAATGTGAATTCTTCTTCCTGGAAAAAATAAGACATTCCCTGAAAATAAAACCTAGCGCACTTTTCAGAGCAAAAATTAATATAAGACACTGTCTTATTTTCGGGGAAACACTGTATATAAAGTTCCTTATGAGAACATCCAACTAGAAGTTAAGAAAGACTACATCGGCGTCACCAACAGGAGCTTGGGAGTAAGACTAAAAGAGCATAGATACAACGTAAGAAAAGGATCCAATGCTACAATTTTGTCGCAAGTCCAAGGTTCGGTGGTGAAATGGGAAGAGGCAAAAATTATAAAACTTGTATCTTCCCCCACTTTATCAATGACGACGGAGAAGACTGAAATATATAGGAGAAGGCTACGTGAAGGATGTTTAAATGCGAGAGATGCTGAGAGCCTGTCGTCAGCGTGGAAGTGCATGATTAAAAAGCTCACTAAAAACTCAGGCTAGAATTAGTTTATTGAAAGATTTTATTTTATTTTTTATTTTGTTTTGTGTTAAGTTTATATATTCTTCCGTTTCTCTTGTATATTTTTTAAAAAATTTTTGTTCGAAATTTTGAGTTAAATATTTGTATTCTATACATGGAACGTATCTGTCCCATTTTCGTTGTTTGGACCTGATGATGGCCTGTTAATCCGTCTGAAAACGTTAGTTTTTCAATTATATTTCTCAGCAACAAATTAAGGTGTTTTATTTTTCTGTTTACTTGCTGAGCACTTTTAATGTAACTGCCGAGTTACGTAACAATTGGTCGAATGGTCTAGGAGTGTATAGTAAACAAAGAAAACCATTTTCATTTATAGATTTACATTTATACAAATATACATATATTGTTTACAAAAATCAAATGATTAAAACAATTTTTTAAAATCACTGTAGGAATTATATACAGATTATAATTTATACCCGTTAAAATCACAGTAAAGTCAAAGTACTTTTCGTTGAGCGATAAAATACTTTATCGTAAAAGTCCTTTAATACTGTATTGATTTCGTAGATGCCGTACGTAACTTCATTATCTTCTTGAACTCTCGCCAACTGGAAAAAGATGTGAGAAATATTTTAAGACATTAAATTGTCACGAACAATTTTCATAAAGAATTAAGCAAATATATAAAATGATTATTATAATAATAATCGTTCATATTTTAGATAGACATTTTAAAATGAACGGCGATTGCATTCTTTTTTCTCTTCAGGAAATTATATTTAAGAATGTTTATACTTATTTTATTTAGAAAATATATTAACACCTATTTGTAATTATTTCCAATAAACGTTAATAATGGCTCAATAAATTATTAATTACCTGTTTACACATTAAGACATACTTTTCTCATATGTCTTAACATGTTTCCGCTTTGAGAGAAACCTCTGTTGCAGCTAGTGCACTTGTAAGGTTTCTCTCGTGTATGAATCCTTTCGTGCTTCTTTAATGTGGAAGGATCGGAAAACCTTCTATTGCACGTAGTACATATATGGGGCTTCACCTGCATATGAATCTTTCTGTGGTTGTCTAAAGCCGATTTCTGTACAAAGTTTTTCTTGCATGTTAGGCAACGATACCTGCCACTACTCTTTATTTTGTCCCTCCTTAGATGACTGTTGAGTTTTCTAATATCTTTAAACGTCTTCTTGCATCTGTGACAAGATTTCTGATCCATATCTGAAAAAAGTTTTTAAACCACGAATTTCAAATAATTAAATTTTGTAAAAGTACAAAAATACAGTATAATAAAAAGTCGACAATCTTTTTTTATTGCTAGAAATTCTCTCATTAAGCATTGAGAAAAATTTGTTTGAAGAACTAAGAAGAGTAGAGATTTCAAGAAATTCAAGAAGAATAGCTAATATTTCTTCAAATTAAGTAACCTATCCGTCGAAACATAATTGATGTGCGATAACGCATTTTTAATAATAGGCTCGTTAGATCGTTACTTTTTATTGGATAATACAATGTCACGCGGTTGCTGTGATAATTTTAAATTTGTTGTAGAAGCGATACGATGTATGTATTTTTTACATTTTAATAAGTTTTATTAAGTAAATTTAAAATTATGCTATTTGCCAGCATATTTTAATATGCACCCTTAAAGTAAATGATGTCGCTGAGCTGAAATCGATAGAATTTTTATTTAATAGTAATATCTAATAGTCAATATGGGGAGACTATCCACATTTTCGATAAGATAATTGAATCCTTTTTTTTTTTTTTTATAGAATTATCGCAGAGAAATTTGCATGTATTGTCAGGATGATCAGCTATTGGATGCTTTTCACGTGATTGCTAAATGCTCTAAGTTAGAAAAAATTCGGGAAAGTGTGTTTGGAAGTTCTATTATTCCGTTGGAGAATTTTTTGGAACTTATTACTAATTTAATGACCCCTTGTACGGAGTGACGTACATCGTTGTTTATTTTGCATATTGGAGTATTCGTTTGTGCCGAAAGGTGGCATTTGTTTTTTTCCTTAAAAGTGTGCTTGTGGCTAAGAAGTGTTGGGAGACTATCCACATTTTCGATAAGATAATTGAATCCTTTTTCTTTTTATAGGTAGGTGTAATTAAATGTTTTTTTTTTCTTTATATAATGTTGATTTTGGTTGGACAGTTCTCCCCATGATGATTTTTTGTTATTATGTTATATGTTTATATTTGATATTTGGCTTTCAGATATTTATTTTTGATGTTTACAATAATACTTGTATAATTTGTTTCGTTTTGATTTATGTATATGTTAATTTTTTCTGTAATAATGGATGGATTATGATATTTTTGTGTAATGTACGTACATGTAACGAATTATTGTATACCCCGCATCATGAGCTCTGCCTAGTATGTCTAATTAAATAAATAAATAATAGTCAATATTCCCGCAAATTAAGAAGCCTATACTTTCCGTCGGAACAAATAAGAATATAATCAAAACTTCATTTACATTGGAGAAATTATAGGAAACTAGCAGGTGGGCCTGGCGTTGCTCGGGCAAAAGTAACGATAACTGAGATAAAGATTATTACGTTACAGTCAACTTTACCCGTTTTCACAGAATGCAAGAATTGGGTCCCCTTGTTTTCAGACTAATTAGAGAAGTTTTAGATGGGTCTAAAAATATGTTCGATTTCCCGCAAAAACGAAAAAAACTGCATCTGCGTATTGCACGTCGCTTTCTCTTAACAATTCCATCGTTACGTAACATTTCCATTGTTGACACTTCCATTGTTACTTAATACTTCCATTGTTGATGGAAGTGTTAAGCCTTAATCCTGTCCCTCTCCCCCGTGGGGAGGAATTTCGAAAAATCCCTTCTTAGTGTGCGTTCTC